ACCAGTGCCACTTACTGATAACACTAGTGCCACTCACTGGTAACACTTCCTAGTGACACTCCCTGGTAACTTACTAGTGTGACTTACTGGTACCACTTACCAGTGGCATTTATTCGTAACACTTACTAGTGCCACTTACTGGTAACATTTACCAATGGCACTCACTGATAACACTAATGGCACTAACTGTTAACACTTACCAACGACACTGGTAACACCAGTGGCACTCATTGGTAACACTTACCAGGCACTCGCTGATAACACTAGTAGCAATCACTGGTAACACTTACCAGTGGCACTCACTGATAACACTAGTGGAACTCACTGGTAACATTTATCAGTGACCAGTGAGTGTCACTGTTAACACTCACCAGTGACACTCACTGATAATACTTACCAGTGGTACTCACTGGAAACACTTACCAGTGGCACTCACTGGTAACACTTACCAGTGGCACTCAATGACAACACTTACCAGTGGCACTCACTGGTAACACCAGTAGCACTCGCTGGTAACACGTACTAGTGACACTGGTTACACCAGTGGCAATCACTGGTAACACTTACCAGTGGCACTCACTGGTAACACTAGTGGTACTCACTGGCAACACTTACCAGTGGTACTCACTGGTAACACTTACCAGTGGTACTCACTGGTAACACTTACCAGTGGCACTCACTGGTAACACAAAGAGCACTCGCTGGTAACACTTACCAGTGGCACACACTGGTAACACTAACCAGTTGTACTCACTGGTAACACTAGTGGCACCAAAATAGGCCGTCCAATTCATTCTAATGAGGACACTAGAGCACTCCAGGATGATTTGAATAGACTGATGCAATGGTCGGAGAAGTGGCAGATGCAGTTTAATATTGACAAATGCAAAGTTCTAAATGTTGGGCAGTTAAATAACCATGCCACATATAAACTAAATAATGCAGATCTTAATACTACTGATTGCGAAAAGGATTTAGGAGTTCTGGTTAGCAGTAATCTAAAACCAAGACAACAGTGCATTAGTGTTCTCAATAAAGCTAACAGAATTCTTGGCTTCATATCTAGAAGTATAAATAATAGAAGTCCTCAGGTTGTTCTTCAACTCTATATATCCTTGGTTAGGCCTCATTTAGACTATGCTGCTCAGTTCTGGTCACCGTATTACAGAATGGATATAAATACAGAGGAGGATGACAAAGATGATCCCATGTATCAGAAATCTTCCTTATGAGGATAGACTGAGGGCCCTGAATCTGCACTCCCTCGAAAGGCGTAGAATTAGGGGGGATATGATTGAGGTGTATAAATGGAAAACAGGAATAAATAAAGGGGATGTAAATAGTGTGCTGAAAATTTCCAGCCATGACAGGACTCGCAGCAATGGTTTCAAGTTGGAAAAATTCAGATTCAGGAAGGATATAGGAAAGCACTGGTTTGGTAATAGAGTTGTGGATGAGTGGAACAAACTCCCGAGTACAGTTATTGAGGCTAAAACGTTGTGTAGTTTTAAAAATAGGTTAGATAAATACATGAGTGGGTGTGGGTGGGTGTGAGTTGGACCTGACTAGCTTGTGCTGCTGGGTCTGGTGCAGTGCTCCATCCTTAAGTGGAGGCGACCAGACTGGGTGGGACATTAGGCTAATCCGGGGGGGGGTCATTGGTCTAATCCGGGGGGGGGGGGGTCATTGGTCTAATCCGGGGGGGGGGGGTCATTGGTCTAATCCGGGTGGGGGGGGTCATTGGTCTAATCCGGGGGGGGGTCATTGGTCTAATCCGGGGGGGAATGGCCCTGCTCCGCATGGGTCAGTAGACCTGTTGCAGTGTTCCTTCTTTCTTATGTTCTTATGAGTTTCGAGAATCTCACTACTCTCGGAGCCCGGCCATGGGTCAGGCTCGTCTGGTGCTAGCCTGGTCAACCAGGCTGTTGCTGCTGGTGGCCCGCTGACCCACATATCCATCACAGCCTGGTTGATCTGGCACCTGGTAAAGATACTTGTCCAGTTTACTCTTGAAGATTTCTACACTTGTTTCAGCAGTGTTTCTGATATCTTTTGGTGAGATGTTGAATAGTCTGAGGTCAATGACATTGATACAGTGCTCCCTTATTGTGCTCAGTGCACTCCTGCTTTTCACTGGAACAAGGCCCTCAAGTAATTTCCATGTATATATTATCAGGTATCTCACTCTCACCCGTTCCCAGTAATTTCAATGCTTTACTGACTCTATGTCGGCCGTGAACGATCTCTTTATTTGCTCCAGTTTTGACATTTCTCCTGATAAATTAGACACATGTGCGACACTTGTTGCACATGTGTCTAATTTATCAACATGTCGGTTCTCTGAACCATTCATCTACAAGACATTTCTCCTGCCCTGAACGGTGCCGTCAACACTGAGTAATATTCAAAATGAGGAAGTACGAGCGATTTAAAAAGTGCCACCAGTGGCATTATTTCCCAAGTTTTGAAAGTGTCATCTGAAAATGATGAAACAAAAGTGTCACGGGTGTTTTTTTATCTATGATATAAGGATGAGAAACAGCAGAGGTGCCAGGACAGTGCCTCTGGGAACCAAGCTTATTGCCTCGCTGATGCTAGATTTTGCTCTGTTTAACTTTTTGTGTTGTGTGTGTTAGGAATCCAAAAAAACACTTGCCTACCTTCCCTGTAATGCCATAGACATTACAGGGAACACTCTTTGGGTCCACTCCTTGGTGGCACTCAGTGCCACACACTGACATTCTACTGGCACTAACTAGTGACACTCACTAGTGGCACACACTAGTAACACACACTGACACTCTAGTGACACTCACTGCTGGCACACACTAGTGGCACTCACTAGTGGCACTCACTAGTGGCATACACTAGTGGCACACACTAGTGGTGCTCTCGGCTATAAACTACAGTACCGGCTAACAAGGGGATGACAACGTCTGGTCATTACCAGCTTAACCACTGACAGTGAGGGGAGTACTGTCTGTGTCGTCTGTCATACAACCACAAGGGAATGAGAGTTAACGAAGTTTGATCCAAGGAAGGTGAGGGTAGCTTCAATTCTCTGGACACACAGGCATTTACCAGCACAAAGACAACTCCCTTGACGAGAGGCAGCCATTCACCAGACCAACAGCCAATCACCAGACCACCAGCCAATCACCAGACCACTAGCCAATCACCAGACCACCATCCAATCGACAGACCACTAGCCAATCACCAGACAACTAGCCAATCACCAGACCACCAGCCAATCAACAGACCACTAGCCAATCACCAGACCACTAGCCAATCACAAGACAATTAGCCCAATCACCAGACACCAGCAAATCACCAGACCCACTAGCCAATCACCAGAAACATTGCCAATACAGAACACTAGCCAATCACCAGACCACAGCCAATCAACAGACCACCAGCCAATCACCAGACCACTAACTAATCACCAGACCACTAGCCAATCACCAGACCAGCCAATCACAAGACCACTAGCCAATCATCAGACCATGGTCAATCACCAGACCACTAACCCCAATCACCATCACCAGACCACCAGCAATCAAACAGACCACTAGCCAATCACCCATCACCAAACCACCAGGTAATCAACAGACCATTAGCCAATCAACAGACCATTAGCCAATCACCATCACCAGGACCACCAGCAATCACCAGACCACTAGCCAATCACCATCACCAGACCACCAGCCAAGCACTCATCACCAGA